ATCTCATAGGCTAGAGTACTGGATTAAACTATTCAAAGTAAAAAGTACGACAAACAAAAAGCCAGATGAGTTCCAGCACCCTCTGCTCTTTGGTTCCTAATTTGCAAAGGTTCCTACCTGCATGCTCTCACCACTATGGAGTCTACCAACCTTCTCTCTCATAAAAGGCTGAATCATCTTAGTAATGAGTCAAAACAAATCCTTCCTCCCTTACCATGAAGCATGTGGTCATAGCAATGAGAAAAAAATAATACACCCTTCCACACAAGAATGTACCCAAATTGTATTACTCAAGACATTGGCCAGTGGCAGGCTAGCTGAGCTGGTAACTCCGGCACAAGTCTCAAAGGCTGGTAATTGAAATATGTCCTCAATTCAAGACAGGCTAGAGAGGAGTATCGGAGGGAGAGAATGCCAGAAGGCAGAGCTGAGAATAGCAATAGTCACCTGGAGGTGGTGGGGCACACAGCAGAGATCTGCCTCGTCTGATGAGAAGGATGTGGGTGTCTAGCTGCTAGTCTGCACCAAGCCCACTGGGTTCCTCTTCCAAGAAGACTGCAGTCTGGTTGCTATGGAAACAAGCAGTGCAGAAGACTGGAAAAGCAATCATGCACAGCAACCCAGTATGGTCTCTGAGTTCTGTCACTTGAACACACACACATGTGACTTGTGGCTGTCTGTGGTTGCCTTTCAGAAGCGGTAGCTACTGAAGAACCTTTCTTGTGGTCTCTACAAGGATCAGGAAAGACAGACAGACCTCTGTCACCATAAGACTGGGCTTTGGGTCCTGAATTCTGTTGCCTAGACTCACACACAGAGAGACACACAGACACAGACACACCCTGCTCTTTACTGCCCATGAGATGTGATGTGGGTGTGTATAATGTATATGCATGTGGCTTGATCAGTACCAAATATTGAAAGAGTTGTATATCAGACATGCTTTTTAGAGACAAACTACAGCAAAACCAGTGTATGAAGTTCCAGCCATTCTAGGAAAACCTCCCAACTACGTGATTCTGTCTGTGTAGAATAAAATCTTCCTAACGGTCAGACTCAAAGGAGGTGAGTTGTGGCAGTAGCATTTTTAAAGACTTCACAGGAATAAAAACCACATGTGTAACAGTAGTTAATAATGAATGTGGTGGATGGCTGGTCATCACATGGGTAGATCTCCTGGGCTCAGCCACAAAAACACCTCTACGTCTAGGCTCATTCCCGCCCATTGTGAGTGGATCAGCCCAAACATCTCCGATTTCCACTCTCATATGAAAATTCTGGGATTCAGCAGGGAGCACCTGGGCCTGGACAGGGTGAGAGATGGCCCCTGGTTTCAGCCTGGCCCTGGGGTCTGTGTGAGATCAATACTATGGAGGGGATACAGTATTCTATCCTCTTTACGCACCTTGGTATTCATGTTCCTATTGTTTACTTGGAACACAAACCTGAATTTATTTTCTGGAAAATGCTTTGTTCATCACAAACACATCCCTCTTCTTTGAGAGAACATTACTCACTAGACAGAAACAAGTAATATTGACTTCTGAACGTGTTGTGATCTGGAATATTTGTACCATATTTCTAGTCCCTGACTGGCATAGAAAATTCTAGACCATTTGCCAAAACCCATCATTTTATGATGGAGTCTTTTCAATGCTAGCCTCAGCAGAAGCACAGCTCAGTGGTGAATTGTCTGAATATGGAAAACCAGACATTGAATTCTAAATGCTTACCATGACATTCTAGGCAAGGCTGAGACAGAACATGTAGTTAGAAGCTGTTTGCTGGTGAGGTGGAGCCTGTTTCCTTCTGTTAGCCCGCATATTTAGGGTTTGGCTTTAGGGGATGCCTTGAAATGGTTAAACACTGGTAACTCCAGGAATTCTGTGAACCTGTAAGGATTTTTGCCCTAAATATCATTTCCTCAGCCATTTCCACATTTGCTGCTGTCACTCACGGAGCCTCAGATGACACTGAGCATTAGCAACTTGAAGAAAGGAAAAAAGTCAGCAGGCTCTGCCTTCATATTGCATTCACTGTCTGTTTCCAGATGCCATCCTAGAACAGGCGAGTTTCTCCAGGCATCTACTTGGCGAGACAAAATACTAGAAAACAATACCACCCAGGCCAGGCACTAGAAATACACATAGATCGCATGCCTCAGTCTGGGGTTTGTAGGAACTTGCCAGGAGGGGCCAGGAAGATAATTATCCCTGCCATACAGAAGAGCTCATTACGATTCTTGAGAGGTCACTGTCCTTGCACACTCACTAAGTAGCAAGAGAGTGATGGGGCCAGTTGCATAACTTCCAGCTTCATTTCTGCCTCAATGGCCACCAGAGCGTCTGCAGTCTTCTCCCAGCGCACTTCCCCGTAAGAAGCAGGCCTGCCACACATGCTGGAGAATGCCTGGCACTTTTCTGGTACTCGGGCAGGGAAGGGACTCAGTTCCTCAGTTTCACGGGCCAGCATGGCTGGGGTAGTATAGAGAAGCTTATCCATTTTTTTTTATCTTCTTAGGAAAAGGTGACATAGATTGGTCACTCCTTAGCCATGTCACATGGAAAGCGGTTCAGGCAAAGCAAACAAGCAACTGAGGACAATCGTGAGATTAGCAAATGGAGAATCAGCAGCGTAACATCTGCCACATTTGCTGAGGAAGGCTCCGAGAACCTTGTCCTTTTCCAGAGCAGAATTCATGTTTGAACTTATATACACAAACAGTGATTAGGTGGATTATTTTTTGGCCTGGTTATTATGTTCAGTGACTTCCTTTTGTGTGTGCCTGTGTGGATGCACATGTATGTGCAGGTGTACCTGAACATTGCATATCCATATGGCAGTCAGAAGACAACTTAAGGTATCTTCCTCTCCTATTTCCCACCGTATTTTTTTAAGACAGGGTCTCTCATTGAACTTGAGATCAATGATTAGGCCAGGCTGGCTGGCTAACCACCAGATTCCAGGAATCCTCCTGTCTCCACTTCCCCAGGTGTTGAGATTATAGGCATATGCCACCACATTTGGCTTTTATGTGGGGTTGGGAATCAAATTCACATTTTTGTTCTTGCATGGTAAGTAATTTATCAGTTGAATTTCCACATGGGGGCAAGAAAGGACTTCTTCAAACTATCCTTAGACCTTCACACATATACTGTGGCACAAGTACCTACATGTAGTCAAGACACACACATAAAGTGTAATTTTTAAGTTTTTAAATCTTTCAACTCCTGGCACATATTTCCATTTCCAAATCATGGCTTACATATTCATCAGATTGACACTCTGTATATAGGTAATGGTGACAGTTACCCAAAACATCATAGTTGCTATGTATGGGTAGAACAGCTTTGTCATTCCCAAGGATGATCTAGTTATCTAGCCCATGAACATAACAAGGTGCATAAATCAAAAGGAAAAATATTTTAAAAATCACGCTTCCAAAGAGCCATGAGAACAAGATGCACTTGCATTCAAAAGCTGAGCTGCCAGCCAACAGCAAGGTGTGCATCTGTGATTAGCCTTGCCACATTTGTGATTATGTTTGCTAGTGCTAGTTTCTTTCATTTTGCTGCTCTTTGATGACAATTTTATCCTTATAACAAGGGAAATGGTTCAGGCAGAGTGTGGTGAAATGAAGAGGTTTGTGTCCTCAGAGAGACAGAATCAAGTTCACACAGCAAGTGTTGCTGATGTTTGGAGAGTGGGTCAGAGCCTAAATATCTGTTGACTCCAGGTGGGATGTTATTTTCAGTTACTGCTATATTGAGCTCCAAATCTCCTTTTGCTAACATGAACCTTTTCTGCATGAAATCCATACTGAAAGCACCAGAGGTTCAGTATCTCAGCTTTAGTCAGCTGGTGTTTGCAGCTAGTCGATTTGCCTTATTCCTCCAAATCATTATCAAACTCTGAAAGTTCTCTGGCATTTGAATCATGAAAACAAAGGACAGATGTGAAATGGCACCCGTTAACCACCCAACCAAAGGGGAATGCATTTGAAAACTCGTTTATTATTATCTATGTTTCGCAATGCAGATGAAAGCAATTGTGCAGAGTTGTGAATAGAAATTCAAATCCAGACTTCTCTCTAAGTGAAAGCCAAATGGGTTTCTGATGAAACAGAGGGGTTTACGTCATGCTTAACATGGACTTTTAGAAAGATTTCCTCTGAGTGTATATTGAGGCTGAGTATATCTTATTCAAGTTTCTTCATGCTGATGAGATGGGTGAATATATTATCACCATCGGTCAAATGAAATGTTAGATTATGAGTGTGATGGTTGACCAGTCCCCTCTGATCCAGGGACATGTGGTCACTGTACATGCCTAACTTGTCCATATAGGAAGTCTTTGTCCTCTTCCTTCCTCACGTTCATTGTGGAGCTCCTGCCACTTCACTGTGGACCTCTCACTACATTGACTAGAAGCTATCACATACATACTTCTCAATTCAGGGTTCTTATGACCAGGAACTTCCTAAGAGGTTGTACTTCCTGTGTGGTTTCAGAAGTCTGAGGTTGTCTTCTGTACTGCCTAAATATGATAGGAAATGAACCACTTAAAGGGGATTATGGAGAACCTCTAAGTGTTAGCAAAAAGCAAAGTTCAAGAATTTTTAGAAAGCTCAGTGATGTTAGAGATGTAATTGGCAGGCCAATTGTTGGCTGTGAATACAGCCAATGAAGGTGGTAAATTACAGCGTTAAAGACAAAAATGTATATTTTCACATTATATTTATTGTATTTAGTGACTAACTTTAGGATTAACTAAAGGAGTTTATAGATGTCTGTGAATATCCTAAGTGGCCCCCTACTCTTTAACACAATTCATTTGCTTTATGTTTTTATTTTCTACCCAGCAGCAGATGTCTTATAAGGTTCCCTTCTAGGCCAAGTAGGATTTGACTTGCTGTGAGCTTGCTGTCCATGCTCTAGTAATAATCTTCACAGTCTAGCCACTTTTCTGTTTTCCTTTTTGTCTTCTCTATTTCTTTGCAGATGACCATCAAATGAGTTGTACGCGAATAATGCAGGACACAGAAAAGGATGATAACAACAATGATGAGTATGATAACTATGATGAACTGGTAGCCAAGTCACTATTAAATCTTGGCAAAATTGCTGAAGATGCAGCATACCGAGCTAGGACTGAGTCAGAAATGAACAGCAATACCTCTAATAGCTTGGAGGACGATAGTGACAAAAATGAAAACCTCGGTCGGAAAAGCGAACTGAGTCTAGATTTAGACAGTGATGTTGTTAGAGAAACAGTGGACTCCCTTAAGCTGTTAGCACAAGGACATGGTGTTGTGCTATCGGAGAACATCGGTGACAGAAGTTATGCTGAAGGAATGTCACAGCAAGACAGTAGAAATATGAACTATGTCATGCTAGGGAAGCCCATGAACAATGGACTCATGGAGAAGATGGTGGAGGAGAGTGATGAGGAAGTGTGTCTCAGTAGTCTAGAGTGTCTGAGAAACCAGTGCTTCGACCTGGCTAGGAAACTCAGCGAGACCAACCCACAGGACAGGAGTCAGCCACCCAACATGAGTGTGCGCCAGCATGTCCGGCAAGAGGATGACTTCCCTGGGAGGACACCAGACAGGAGCTACTCAGATATGATGAACCTTATGCGGCTGGAGGAGCAGTTGAGCCCCAGGTCTAGAACGTTCTCCAGCTGTGCCAAGGAGGATGGGTGTCATGAGAGGGATGATGACACCACCTCAGTGAACTCAGACAGGTCTGAGGAGGTATTTGACATGACCAAGGGCAACCTGACTCTGCTAGAGAAAGCCATTGCCTTGGAGACAGAGAGAGCCAAGGCCATGAGGGAGAAGATGGCCATGGACGCTGGGAGAAGGGATAACCTGAGATCCTATGAGGACCAGTCTCCAAGACAGCTGGCTGGTGAAGACAGAAAATCCAAATCCAGTGACAGCCATGTCAAAAAGCCATACTATGGTAAAGGTAATATTTCTACCTAACGTAAGTTGCTTCAGGCAAATGTGAGCTAAGTAAAAGATACTGATAATAGTCTGTTATACTATAAATCACTACAAATATCATGTCTAATGAACATTTTTAGAGTTTATTCTAGAGGTATATCATGTGACAACTTGTCTATAGAACAAATAAAATATTTGTCTGAGGAATAGATAAAACAACTAAATGTGCTGTCGTTAGAACAGATGGATAGGATGACAGTGGGAAAATGCATTCCTGGAGAAGACAGGGCTAGCACATCGACACACCTATGATAGAGACCATTAGGACCAGGCTATGCTGTTACAAAGGAACCATGATCTATGCTGAAAAGTGGCAAGGGTTTAGGCAACAATCAGTCAATCAGAGATGATGCACTTTCTTCATAAATTGGATTGAGTAGATGGCTTCACAATTTATAAAATTATCACCTAGTGACAGTTATTGATGAAACTAGCCCCATAGAAAACGCCCAAAAGGAATTGAACAGCAACACGATGACCGATGACATAAGATAAGGACAGTGACTGCACATTAATTATCTATGATAGTTAGCTAAGGAAACTATTTGCCATGCAAGGCATGGGTAGTCATAGCTGAAACCAATAGCAATTTCTCTAGAATATTAATTCCCCTTACTAGCTACATTACATTGTGGAAATAGTTGTAGCTCTTTGGTCAAATACTGTGTAATTTTTAAAAAATCTCAAAACTATCCAATGATAATTTAACTGAATTTTATTTTATGAAAAAAGTGAGCATATATTTGCATCTATCTATTCATGTAACTTAGTTAACCTGACAGAGTGACTTCATGTTCTTGGTAGCATCTGTATCCATCTGCAACTGGTAAAAGTCTTGATTCAACTTCACCTAGTAAGCAACTGGTATGTTTGATTCCTCACAAGACTCAGAACTATGAAAGAAACTATCTCAAAAATGAAACTGGTATTTCCTTAAATCCTTTCTGTATTATCACCAAATATGTTCCTTTTTCTGCTTTTCATTTTGTTCTGTACATTATGAATACTCAGTTTCCTCACTATGGATCTGACCATGAGATTCAGGAATTTAGTTTTAAAATCAGTTGCTGAACAAACTTAAAACAGTCAGAAAACCTGTATCGTCCCTATTGGGGCACAGGTGTGTGTGCTTCTCTCAATTGTGCTCATAGCTATGACCAAGTCCACGCTGGCAGAAGCCTTAGTCAGAGCTCTGAGTGCTCCTGGTTGACTAGTGCCTGGAGGGATATGCGCTTCTCAGTTACAGAAGCAAGCACAAGACCCCCAGACGAGGGCATCACCATGGCGCCTTTGGTTTGTGTAGTCCGCCAAGCACACAACTCTTTTTGCTTTGTTGTTATGTTGCTTTACTTTTATGCAGAAACATGGAATTTGCCCTGACTGCTTCCCTTACATGAGGAGGGAGAAGTGAATGCTAAGATGTGTTTTTGTCATGAAAAGGGGAAGGTTGGGAGCCTGAATTTTCTCATGAGAAAGAAGGCATTAGTCACCACTTCTCTAGTTTCCCAGGTTTACTTCTGACCAAAGTTATCAGTGTCTTCCATCAACATTTTCCATGTTTCCTTGACTATAGCTATAGTTTCATTCTGAGCCAAAATCAAGCTAACACACACACACACACACACACACACACACACGCACACACATGCACACACATACCCACACACACCTTTGCACACACATATACATAAGCACACATTCACACATACACACACACGTGCACGTGCACACACACACACAGGCATGAACACCAAAAAAATGGAGCAAAGAGATTAAAGCCCTCTTTTAAAAAACTAAAGTTATGGGACCATATCTCAGCAACATGCCATCACATCACATCAACATGCTGTGTTTGTAAAGATAAGAGAACACATGTGCCTGTTTTCATACCATACATCTTAACTGAAAGTACTTCACTAAAGTACTAACGAGTAACATTTCAAAATACTAAGTTAATACAAAATAACTCCTTTGCCTTCCACACAACCCCCTTTCTATCACCCTAGAGCAGAAGGGTAATAAGCTGAATTCAGCACACTTTTTAAAAGTTATTGCAAGGTTTCTAGTTAGGTTTCCTAGTCTTTTTCTATGCGTCACTGTTTCCTGTTTGTTTGAAAGAAGAATTGGGATTGCAAGAAACAAGTAACCAAGGGACAGTGATAGTGACAGCAATGGCAGACCCCATCTCTGCCATGCATCGAGAGCAGACTATGCTCTTCTGAGCTCTGCACCCTGAGATAGTTTTGAGCCTTTTTTTATATAAAGATCACTTAATTTCAAAACTGTTTCAAAATCTGTAAAATCATGTTATTTGTGTGAGATATTGGGGTCCTGATGAAGCAGTTACTTTATGATCAAAGTGAATAGTATGTTATTTTTTAATCCTGTGCAAGTAACTCATTTGTATCTGTTTTTTCTTTAAAAAATCTCTTAAATTTATTATTTTAAATTATCAATGCTATCTTTTGAAACTGTTACTATGTGGTTACTATTTTATAATGATATGGATTAACTTTTCTCAGTATAATGAAATTGCTCAGAGGCACCAGAATGCTAGACTTTACTTTGAACCTGCAGCAATTGAAATGCCAGGACTTACTCTTGAGTTTGTTGGCAAAGACCAGGAGGCAATTGTAGGTGCAGGACAGCAGTTGGCAATGCCCAGTGTTTTGGTCCATGCCAATGCTAGAACATTATGTAGATGATGTATTAGCAGAAAAGGAATGTGGAATACCCTTCATATCAACATAACAGCATTTGTAAGATCTTGGGAGTGAGTCATTTGTCTATTTCACACTCATAAGTGACACAAGAAAGTCTGTAAGAGTTCAGACATTCCAAAGTCAAGCCAGGTATAGTGGTTCACGTTTATAATCCCAGGACTTGGAGACTAAGACAGGAGTATTACCCTGAGTTCAAAGACAACCTCAGCTATGTAGCTAAGACTCAGGCCAATCTGGATTACAGGGTGATAATCTATCTCAAAAGACCAAAGCAAATAAAATTCAAACTGAAGATACTTTTTCTTGATATAAATGAATTCTTAACCAAAAGTAAAGCATGTATTTTTTAATAAATATGATTGGCCTAGTTAATGAGATATTCATATAAAAGAATTAAACTCCTAATGGAAATTTAACTCTAGCAGTCACTGAACCAAAACATAGTAGTTACTGTTGGCGATCTGAGCAACTGCTTTTCAAATACTTGTTCTAAAAACAAACATTGTATCACAATCTATGATTTAGAATTCAGTCTGAGCTAGCCTCAGAAACACTTTCTAGAATTGTTGTAATCCATGAGGGTGAATTGTGGTTGATCTGGGTGTTTACAAAAAAAAAAAAAAAAAGCAACTCTGTTAGGATATCGTTACATCTCTGGCATCCAGCATTCAATTCTGGACCAAACGTCTGCTCTGATTGGCTCTTGGCTGGCGCTGCAGAGGAGCTGGCAGCGCTCTAGATCAGCCTGACCTCCTACTTTGTGTATGCATGCACAGCATTACACGAGCCTTCCTCTGGTTCCAAGTACAGACGAAGAAATCAAAACAAATGGTTGCTCCAGCGGCTTCTGAAGCGTTTTTTGATTGCCCATCACCCTGCCAGGTGGGATCGCCACCCTTCCCGTCATTTGCTTACAGTGCCTTCTGAGAGTTCAGTTGATTTTCAAAAAAAAAAGTGCTGAATTGCTATGCTAAGAAACAGTGTGGCTTAACCTCAGAGGGGGAAAAAAAGTCTGCAGGAAAATTTCACAGCTTATGGCATATGAGGCCAGAGCTCTTCAAAGAGGGAATCGGGTGAAGATTTTCTGAGTAGCACCTCACTCTGGTTGAAGTGTATGGAGAAATTGCTGAATGAAATATGGAGTTTTGTTCTCTAAGAAGGTCACTGTCTCATCTCTATTTACATTGATTTCTTTGAGCAACACAGCTTATCATGTAACACACGGGAAACCAATTGATCGAGAGTTATGATTAGAGATAGGTGCTTTCTTTTAATTTTTGGATTAAAAAAAAGCAAAATACTTTGATTCCTGATTACATTGTATAAGGTTGAAAATATTACCCACACCCAAAGAGCTGTGAAACAAAAGCCTGATGTCCCAGCCTATCCTGACACCTGCCTAATTTCTCTGTTTAGCAAAGGTCTCTTCGGGTTGCTGGATAACCACATGAGTCTGCGGTTGGTAAACATTCATTTTCTTGACACCTGTTGTCGCTTTTAGATCCCTCAAGAACAGAAAAGAGAGAGAGCAAGTGTCCAACCCCCGGGTGTGATGGAACCGGCCACGTAACTGGGCTTTACCCGCATCACCGCAGTCTGTCTGGATGCCCGCACAAAGATAGGGTCCCTCCAGAAAGTAAGTTGTGTCTCGCCGCTCCCCGGGGCGTGCAAGCACTCTGGCTCTGTCAATCATCCCCCAACTTCATCTCCATGGCACCTCAGTGAAGCTGTCCCTGACCAGACCCTTCCTCAGCCTGGAGGGCACCTCAGGAAGCTTCCCCCTACATCCTCTGGATTTTCTGGGTACCAGCTCCCAAGAGTAGCTCACCCTGCAGTTGTCTCCCTGGAATTAGGCTCCCAGGCCCACCTGAGCTCTGGTCCTCAGTTCTACTTATTCTGTGATCCCAGTCAGGTAATTTCTCTACTTGGTCTCATACATGACAGAACTGAACTAGCCAGGCTAAAGTAACCCATGCATACTGGTCTTAGATATCCCAGGAAAGAGAGGCCTTGGTATTCCTGCCCAAATCCCTGAACTATTGCACATTGTCCAGTCAGCATTTAGAACAGTTTGTTGCATTCACTGTAGTCTGTTTCATGCCACAGGTGTCCTGGCATTTGCACACTGAAGATGTCAAATGAACAGTTTGGATTTGGCGGGGCTTTTCTTTTATACATTCTTTCTAAAAGATAGGTTCCAAGGGTATGAAATGAAATCTGTGAAAACAGTGTTTCTTGTAGATCTAAGATGATATACATCATTTTTTGTTTACCTTTCTCTTGGCAAGAAATATACCAACCATGTAAAATCAATGAGAATCAATTGTCCAAAGCACAGACTCTGGTTTCAGGCATGAGTAAGGTGATGGATGCCTAGTACTAACCTACAACATGCTGTGCCCACCTTCAGCTTCCAGTAGGGAAGGTCGCTGGAGGTGTACCTAGATGACCAGATGGATATTCAAAGACATTTTTGAGGACCATGCTGTTACCAGGGGCGCCCTTGAAGTCCTTGAGAAGCAAACCTGTCAGAGGGCAGGCAGCTCCTGTATCCGTGTAACATGAGAGGCAGGGAAAGCTAAAGCTAAGTACTCTCTGGTGAAACATGTTCAGATGGTATTGTGGCCTCAGGTTCTCAAATGCCTATTAGAATGGCATGCTTACGTTTCCTGTTTTCTTCTTGAGAACAATTATGAAAAGTTGTAAAAAAATAAACAAATCCAGGTGTGTCTACAATCCCGTGTGTTACATGACAGGGAGACGCATGGTTGACGACAGCGGCTTCCACATGTGAGCACTGTGGTAGGTGCTTGGCTGCCAAACGCAAGCACTGGCCCATTCAATGCCATAACCTCCCCCAACCTAGGGAGCACTACCCTGGCTACCAGATGAAGAACATGGGAATCCAACTCCATCTTCTTTCTCTTTCAAGACTGGCTGGCAATAGGTGGTGCTCAGTACTTTAAAGTACATCTGAGCCACTGTTAATGGGCCTGAACTCAGCTGTAAACCCATGCCAACTCTCAAACCCATCACCAACTCAAACCCTGGGTCTGGTGTTCCTGTTTCAACTCTACCCTGCTTCCTGGCATCAGGCATGTTGTGGGTTGTCAGTACAAAATGAGGCACCGTGGCTGAGAGCTAATGCTTTAATAAGTTTCTTTATGGGATCTTTTTCCAAGGCATTGATTGGGTTCTTTTTACCTCCAAGATTAATCCTTTTCCATGGATAAGAATTCTCCTTGACTCCATATTTTCACAGGAAATGTCTAGATGTAGTTCAAGTGTGGGTTATGCGCTGTTGAGCTGGAAACTGAATAGGCCTGCTCTGAATGACCACATGTGGACCCATCTTAGCAGGCAATAAGTAGGGTTCAGGTCTGACCTTGTCCTTCAAACTAGGTGTCTGCAAAAGAAAAATAACGTTTCTAAATCTAGGCGTGGTACATGAGTGTAATCCCAGAACTTAGGAAGTAGAGGCAGGGGGGTTGAATTGGACACCAGCCTGGTCTATCTGAGGAACTCTTAACTACTTTCTCATGAGTACCACAGAATGTAAAAGTAAATAAAGAACTCCATTATGGGCAGCATCCTTTGCTTTTCTGGACTGGCTTCCCTGCCTGTTTCCACCCAAGTGAATCCAGTGAAGGGTTCTTCTGCTGGAACATACTAACTGGATGGATGGCAGAGGGTAGTTCTACTCATAAAGAAACCCCAGCTGAGCCAGACAGAGTTGCTATCGCCACCCACAATACAGATTTACAGCATGCTGGGTAGTGTGGGAAGGCAGCCGATGCTAAGTGTAGCGGGTGGTACCGGATACCACCTTTTAAACGCTGCTCGTGCAAACAGGAGTGAATTGGCAGGGAAAAGCATAAAGTAGGGATGAAAGAAAGGAGCCAAACATAGGCTTGTGCGAAAAGGTGAGGTAAAGGAGGAAATGTGGGGGGGGGTCAGTAAACCAGGTAAATTATCATTTCTCAAAAGTTCCAGGTGTGATGTCCATGGCTCTGGTTCGAAAGGAGCCTAGGAGGAAGGGCTTCAGATGCCACTGGGCCTCCTGTTTGAAAGCTTTTGCAGATGCTCCAGAGAAATGCTGGGGGGAAGTAGCGAGGGTATCCGTACAAACTAAAGTGTAGAAATGGCTTGAGACAGAGTCCACAGAGGCCACCTGCAGGCTGAAGAAGCAGATGCCACTGCAGGTGTGGCCTGAACAAAGTGCCTGTGTCTCCGCTTAGCAGGACACAGAAACAGCCACCTGAACCCTGCCACACAGCCAAGCCTGAAAGGTGTTTGCTCTCCCCAGGGAGGACTTTATAACAGAAATAGTTAACATAAGGAGAAAGAAAGGCACATATTAAGGTAAAGAGAAATATGTGCCATTCTAACAGGGCGATAGGATAGTGGAAAGACCAGCAAGACTGCAGACTTCAAAGAGAAGAGCACATTATCCTCTGAGACAGGGACTCCTCAGAAAAGAGATCTCCTAGCCCCCACCCTCGGGACGCCCCCTCCCAGGAAAGGAGCTGAATGCTGACTTTTCCACTTTGATTCATATTTACTGAGCATTAGCCACATCTAAAGAGGAGGCAGGAGCTATGAGAACTTAAAACCGCAATAGGCTGTTTTTAAAGATCTCACCAACAGTAAAAACATGGAGAGGTGCAAGAATGGCATGTAGACAAACTGCACTCAGGGCCCAGCAAGACAGTGACTGCTCCAGGAGGATGTCATGGGGAATAGTGACAGGTGTGAGCAGCCATGGCTCTGAGCAGACCTCACATGACCACTGACCCTAGGCAGGCTCTGGGGCAGGGAGGACTGCCCCAGAGGCCACTGGGGTTTGCATGCATCCCGCTCAGAGAGGCAGAGCATGTGGCCAGCCAGCATCTTTAGAGTCTATTGTCTTGACTTCCCCAGAGCTCCTAACCCCACAAGCCTCAGCAGACAGAGGATAGAACTGTAGATAAGAACCAGCCTCCCCAGATGCCAACAGGCAGTGTCCTTGTGCCCTGGGGGGGTCATCTTTTTCATCTTCCTGTTTGTTACTTTAGTGTGGCAAAAATGCAGAGATCTTAGTATTCCTGCTCTCTCTCTCTCTCTCTCTCTCTCTCTCTCTCTCTCTCTCTCTCTCTCACACACACACACACACACACAAATACTGATTTCCTAAGCAAACATGGTTTATTTGGGAAAAAAAGTTTAAGATTCTGCCTACTCACCTCAGACTTTGATGATCCCATGTGTTTCCAAAGCACAGGCATGTTTTTAAAATGCCCAGGCTATGTGCTGTTACACGGCTGATCAGCATCCAGTGCTTACCCATGGGATACACTAGGATGACCCTTGCTTTCCTGTCCCGTGAGGGGCTACTCAGTTTCGGCGCTCTCTAACCCCCTTGGCTCCCTGCCAGTGCACCCTGCTTTGCATGCCTGAGTACAGTCATACAACCTCCTTGCTCTTCCCACATGTATTTCCTGGTCATGCACATCACAGACGTTTGTAGGCCTGTCTGTTGTAAACTAATCGAGCCTGTTAAGAAACAATTGCATATTGTATTCTCATCACTTCTCTCTTTTAATGCTGGGCTATTTTCTTTGCCTCTCCTTTGTCAAGTTCTTGCCATGCATGAAAATGTTCTCAAGTGTCCCACTCCAGGCTGCACAGGGCGAGGGCATGTGAATAGCAACAGGAACTCGCACAGAAGGTAAGCCACACTCTGCCGTATGCTAGAGAGAGCCACCCACAACCCTGCCCCATGGGAGCTCTTCCCTTCTATGCATCCCTCCTCTTCCAAGGAGACTGGTGGACCTCACACACTGCTCCTAAATTGTCGGCCGCACCATGTATAGGAAGGTCAAAGGCTTGGTTGCCCTGTTTTGAAGACTGCATTTCTTCAGTTGTTGTCTCCCTTAGTATAAAGGAGCACTGTTCCCTCACAAGATACCCTTCTTGGTACAGCATCCAAGATGGAAGCCACAGCCTCTTACAATGACAGTGACCAGAAGGGTCCAGCAAGTTTCTATTATCTTCACACATAGAAGAGGCTGTCTTCCACTTACCATATAGAACAATGAACTAGAACCCAGCAGTGCTAATCCAGATGACTAACTTGGTTGCTCTTGGAATTCTGATGGATCCCCTGACCAACAGCATGGGCGTCATTAAAATATGAACAGATGTCCAGAAGCTCTGGCAAGGGTATACCAATGGGGACAGTACTCCAGGTCAATGGCTTTCACTGTATTACTGCTGAAAAATACATGATCAGAATCATACTCTGGATGCTAACAAGTTCCAGTTTTCTTCCCCATCCGTTTCGTAAGTTATAAGAGACGGCAAGTTCCTCAGAAAAATCCAGGTGGTAACAGATCACTTCCTTTCTGCAGTAGCAGAATGTGATTCTCTTAAGGTTTGTCTTGCCATGGCTTAGGTTTCCTCCTGGATAAATGAAGCTGTAAATTTTCTCTTAATTTTTGTCTAACTGGTTAGTCACAACAAGCTGCTTGGTTACTGGTGTTTATAACAAAACAGATCACAGCTCTATGCCCAGTGGAGGTTCTCTGGTACTGAATCTCTAGGGGCTGACAGAGATGCAGGAGATCCTTGCCTAGTCCTGTGCAATGAGCCTTCAATGTCAGCTCCTTCTTTTGGCTTCAGTACATGTGTGTATGTGGATGGACACCCACGCATATCTAGAGCACACAGAGGCAGCGTGCAGACACCATGATTTCCCGAGGAAGACGCTCAAACAAAGAAACTTCTCTGCTTCCTCTGCCATACTGACTACCTGAACTAGTTACTAAACACACTTGGATGCAGTCCTGAGGGTGTTCCTATTGCACCTTCCTTTCTCTATCCTTCCCTTCATGAACTGAGGTCAGAAATCCCTAAAGCCTTGCAGGTAGATGCCTCTGTGTCATCAGCTCACAGTGCCACCTTCTGGTACAGTCGACTAACTGCTACTCTTGGGTTTGTCAACAACTCTTTCTCTAGCTGCCACCACCTGGGCCTCCAGAAATGGCCAACACTCCTAAATTTTTGCCAGAAATTTTAACCAGCTTATGTTGATTTGCTTCTTGGAATTTGGGGTGCTCATTGGATAGGTCTGTTGTTGCCATCAGAGCTGTGTACCAGACCCCAGGCATACACAGCACCAGGCAAGCTGGAAAACTCATTTCCGTCTACCTCAGGGTCTTCTTGGCTGGCCGAAGGACGGAACATAGTGGGTGCATCAGTGTATGGCAAGGCATACACTTAATTAAATCTTCTTTATATCATTCTAGCCTCTCCGGGTGCCCTATCGCTGCTGCAGAAAAACTGGCAAAGGCCCAAGAGAAACACCAGAGCTGCGATGTGTCCAAGTCCAACCAAGCCTCAGACCGAGTCCTCAGGTACTCAATAGAAGTGTATCACTGGTGGAGCTCCATCAGAATCCATCCCAGATGAGAGCATGGGGAGTGTTCGGGACACTCCACAGGGTAGATGTGCTCTAGGCAGAGGAATAGAAGCTGAGACTTGTGCCCTCTCTTTTATAAGATTATGTAGAAACCTGGAGGTCAGCATAACTCCCAGGTCTCCAGTGGCTCAGTGTGACTTTTGAACTGAGAGAATTGGACACAGTTATATGATTTGCAGCCCTGACAATTCACCACTCTATGAATGTTGAATAAAAGAGAAGTTTTGAAAATCAGTGATGTTAGTAGCCCAATATAACTATCTCAGTTTGGAGCAAGGTACATCACCTACTTATGGATGGCACTGCTCTTTTAGAAAATGCAAGAATGGTGAATGCCTCATTACCATGTATGAAAAGTCATCAAAGTTGCCATCACCTTTTATCCTCACACACCCTAAGATGTGGGTGGTGGTAGGTGGCATCTCTGTCGTGTGACAGGCAAGACGCTCAGAGTACAAGGGCTCATGACTTACCTGAAGTCAATACTGCATGCTAAAGTGGAAAGGGCCTGGGGGGCAGGACTGAATCCCCACTTTCCACATTTGGGAATGTGATTATTGGTAGAGGAAGACATCTACATTCCTCGCAGACTTCACATACATCCCATGATATCTGTGATAGTCAATGGACCTCTGCCTTCTCACTCAGTCTCAAGACAAAGTCTGTGTCTCTGCACACCAACGCTAACTAGCATCCTAATGACCACATTTGAATATGCCTGGTTAAGTGAATGCCACAGCACAGCCAAAACTAGGAGCTAGCTCTAAGACAAACAGGCTGTCTCTAAAGAGTGATGATGAATACTTCTCCATAGCTACAGCATTGGGCTTCTGCTGAAGTATTTCTTTGGGAGAAGTTACTTGGAGAAAATCACTAGGCAAGAGGTAGAAATGGCTTTGTGTCCTCATTTAGTATTGCATAATTTTTTCCTGCAATTGATTAAAGTTCCTTTCTCCTTTGGTAAAAAGTTATAATATTTACAGAAAATTTAAAATATTTAAGTAAAAATAAGAAAATAAAAATAGCTATAATTCCTCTATTCCAAGATGATCCCTCTTTGATTTCTGATATTTCTATACATTGGTATATACTTTCTATTGCTTCAACAAGAATAGACTGAATTGGCGAACTGAAGACAGTATGCTGGTTAATTTGAGACTGTATTTTAACCATGCTGTGCCACCATAAATGTGGCATAGATATATTGTGGAGTAACATACAGAAGTCAGGTCATCTAGAGGCATGGCTCTGTGGCAGACTGTCTGCCTAGAATTCACCAATAAAGGACCTGTAGGCATGACTCTGGTTTAGTGGCTGCCTATACTCTCGGTTCAGTGTAGTACCACAAAAATAAAACAAAAACAAAAAACATAATAAATCAGTAAAAGAGGACTCATTTTCCTTGTAACTACTACTAAATATAAATTTAAGAAATAATCACGGATGGACATTGTCAAAACTTCTATTAGCAAAAAAGAAAATGGAAAGAAATAGTTTAGTAATGTAACATGGATGAATGTTATCAAAAGTTGTAACAGCAAAAATAAAATTGAGAGAAAATAATAGTTCAGTAACCTAACATTCAGAGTCTAATACCAAGCAATACGGGCTGCTTTTAAACCCCAAGCAAATAAAAGAAATGGTAAATGCCGTGTGAAATCAGGCTCAGTTTTTTAAATACTTTTAAAAAAGGAATTATACCAAGATTTCAACAGTTTTAAGTCTGAAAGAATTCTGGGTGGTAATTTTAAAGCCGTTTTTTTAATGTTTCCTAAACGTTTTCCCAATGACCCGGAGACTGTGTGGGAGGCAGGCATGAAGTTGCGGGCTGAGCACCGGGACCCCGCCCTGGTCTGTGGCCTCCCGCAAACCCTCCCACCCGTGGCCATGCCTGCCCATGCCCACCCAACAGCTGCCGATTCACCCCGGCGGCGGAGGCCAGCAAGCGACTCCCGGGGAGGCGCTGCAAGCAGTTGGGGCTGAGGACAGGCAGCGTTTCCGGGAGGAACAGGCAGCGTTTCCCGCTAAGGCTAGGCCGTGCTTCCGGCTAGTAGGCATTTCCGGCCTTGGAACAGGCAGTATTTCCAGTTGAGGTACAGGCAGGGTTTCCTAGTTACGCAGCACAGCCGCAGCGTTTCGGGATGACGAACCGACCGTATTTCCCACTGAGGTACGTGCAGTGCATCCACGCGTGAATCCACTGAGTGAGGAAGGGTTTCTGGTCGTCCGTGTGCCTCCCTTGTAAATGGACTGTGAACCAACGCTTACACGTGGGTTCACCGAATTTTTTTCCTCCTGCTAGAACATCCAGTTTTTTCTCCTTGGCATCTTATTTTTTTTTTAAAACGTTGCACGTAAATCAGAAATAGAATTATCAGTAAGCCCACCTGAAATCAAGGAAGATCTTAAGTAGATATACTGCTTAAAAGTGATGCTGATCTATGGAGATGACTGCAGGTCCTTTTAACAATATTTTGCCCTGGAAAAAGCTTTAGTCAATTAGCGAGAAGACTTGAGATTGACATGCGCAAACACCTGTCCATATCTGTTATACAGGACAGAAGCCCGCTAAAGAGTATAAGGAGGCCCATGTTTAACTCCTTTTATGTCCTAAGTGGTTTCCACTTATGTAGTAGACACACGGGACAGAACATCAGTGAAGGAATAAGAAGTAAAAACTCCTCCATTTAAATATTTTATCCTAAAGTCTAAAATAAAGGACTACTAGATAAAACAAAAAACCAAAAACATTGAAGGACCATGAATATTTGATCAAAGGTTTTCCTACAACTCCATTTTAATACACAGCTAGATAAATTCTGATCCAGTTTTGTCTTATCCTATGTCCCTAAGTGTCTTTATTTTATCTTACTTTTTGAGGAAAATTTCTTAGGAGTCTTTGCCATTTTGTGTGATTCCATTACCTTTCATGACCTCCACAAATATATCAGATTCTTCCTCAACCTCATATATATCAGATTCTTCCTCAACCTCATATATATCAGATTCTTCCTCAACCTCATATATATCAGATTCTTCCTCAACCTCATATATATCAGATTCTTCCTCAACCTCGTCTGTCATATTTTCATCACCAGTCTTCCTGAAAGTGAAAGAACATGATAAAACACATTTTAAGCATTTTATTTCTTCTTTTATTTCCAGTATTGACTTTTAGGCAGGTATTTTGTGATGCATACTTAAGTCTTTTGGTAGAAGGGGTAGAGTTGTAATTTGTGAAAGGTCCTGAATCCACAATACATGAAAGAAATCATGTGTACTAGGATAAACATGAGTCATGTTGCATGCGCGGGCATGAGAAATCAAGCCATTGTTTGTTGTCTATTTCCAGGCCAATGTGCTTTGTCAAGCAACTTGAGATTCCTCAGTATGGCTACAGAAACAATGTCCCCACGACAACACCGCGCTCCAACCTGGCCAAGGAGCTTGAGAAATATTCCAAGACTTCGTTTGAATACAACAGTTACGACAACCATACTTATGGCAAAAGAGCCATAGCTCCCAAGGTGCAAACCAGGGACATATCCCCCAAAGGATATGACGATGGTAGGAGGTGCACACTCTTATACATGAGAGACACGTTGACATTGATGATGTTGTTGTTGTGTGTGTCCTTGTCCCGCAGATCAGCCACTCTTCATGCTCACCCAGTGCTTGCCAGAGGCACAGCACACATGGCAGAGCCCTGTGCTGAGAGCCCCGGGCCCAGGAGGGGCAGGTAGACACGCCCGTGGGTAGGAGGGGTATGGTTTCCTGCAATGACTCCAAGGCATAGGCCTCTGGCTACATAGAGAACAAGGCCTAGGCTCTCTATGTTTGGGGTGTGGCTGAGCTGGTACCCTTATAAGCTTTTTTTTTTAAAGGCAAATACTCAAGACAAGTTTCACTGGGAGAAACAGGTTGAACTCTTTTAAGAAGCTCCACGTTGACAATGCAATGCTCTTCAAGGGTATACATTAGAAGCCTCTGAGGAGAAGGCCTTGCTCAAGGTCTATGCATAGATTGTACCCTAGACCAATGAAGGTGGAGTCCCCGTGCACTGGTATTTCTTAAAAGATACACAGGGCTCTTGATGCAGGCATAGCTGATAACTTCACACAACCAGCTCTGTGAGCAAACCAGGCATGTGTTCCTTCTCTGTCTGGGTGTTGAGGAGGAAGGCCAGCTTCAGTGTAGAATACGTGACCCTGAGCCTTGGCATCCATGCCTTTTTAGAACTCATGGCACAAATAACGTACAGGTCGTCTGATGATGTCAGAGTCTTGCTTAATGCCTTCCTGCAGATGGAGAAGGGGGAGCTTTTAGGGAGTTAGGACCCCTGTCTGAAAAATATACTTAAAGTCATACACACATAAAACGTATTTAAAAGTCTGGGGATTCTGAACCCTGTTAACAATTCAACATGAGATGCTGCCTATCTTTCTAAGCTGTATTTTTCTTATAGAGATAACAAGTAATTTGTTTTGTGAATGAAATTTAATATTCCTTTGACATATCACATATTGATCATTCATGTGTATCAGTTCTGTAATATTCAGGCAGATAAATATACAAAGAAGAAAGGTATCATGAAAATAAGTATTTTGGGGTTTTTTTTGTCTCTATGGTAATAATTACTAGCTGGTTTCGAGTCCTGTAATTCAGTCGCTCGGTTGCAAATGAAGGATCAAAAGGAAATTATGTTCACACAGATGTAAATGCAGTTGATAGGCTTTCAGTTAATCTTTCCATCAGATGTTGGTTTTCGCATTCCTACTCCAAGGCTGTGGCACATTCCCATGTGCCTCGTCAGACAGCTTGACACGTCTTTCTCTTTTCCCCTTGCTGACTTCAGCCTGGGCGTGCAGGTAGAGTCATAGCTGACCAAGGTGTCTTTAGAGCCATACGCCCTTTCCTGGTCTGTAAGTGAACCTGCTTGGGCTACCACAGCTTTGTACTTCATGAGCTACAGGATCCCGCATGAAAGAACCTTCTAGGGTATTCACTTCCTAAAGACACTGCGAGTCCCTGCCCGAGGCTGTTGCCGTGAAGAGTGGCGGTGAGGTGGTATGGGGGCGCTCTTTTCCTACCACGAAGGCAGCAGTGAGCATATTTGTTAGTCCTGATTCTCTCAATCCAGAGAGATGCCTTTCTTGCAAACTTGAGATGAGGTAGGCTTTCCATTGGTCCACCAGAGAAGACCAGTCTATGAGGCATGCTCAGTTAAACCTCAGCATTAGATTCTCAGGAAACAAAGAAAAAAAGGAAGAGTAGCAGCCTTCCACCACAACGTTCTGAGGAAGCAAATCAAAGCTCTAGTTCTCTCCTGCTGGCAGAGATTATAACTGAAAAGGGTCCAGGCCGGACAAAATGTCTGAGTCGGGAGGCTGTGTAGGAGGCCCCACCTAGGGAAGCCATCCCTGTGCCCAGATACCAAGAGGTAGATTCCAATGTAGTCGACTATGGCAGTGCCCCCCTGTTTGCCTCAGACTTCTTTCAGGCACTCAGAGAACATGTCTCCCGTTCTTTGAGAAATAAGAGATTTCTGTCCTGTAAATCCTGGCCTGACATAGAATTTTTAGTTCTCTAAGGACTGGGAACACTGGTGCAGAGAGGTGTAACTAAGGCATAGGGCCTGGATATCCACTCTTCACCTACCTAGCCTCCTCTGTGGCCAGCAAACCTCCCATCAACCCCTTGCTTCTCCCGGACACCTCACCAGCTGTTTCTGTCCATCCTCTTTAGTCTCCTTAGTCTGACATTCTGGGAAAGGGTTGAGAGGTAAGACGGGAAACCCACGTGTGTGGCGTGAACTCACGCACACGGAAGCATAGGGCATTCTCTCTGCAGGACTGGTTGAGTGCCACCAAATGGTAAACTGTACACTTGTGCCCAGAACTGGTGTAGGCTTCACATGCAGGGATGCCCATGGGTTTGGGAGCACTCGGGTGACCTGGGGAGGCCAGAAGGAAAAACAAGATTCAGCTGTAGGGGCTGAGGAAACAACCTCCTCGTGGTTCTGTCACGGTGTGGATTTGGACACCTCCCACGGGAAGACTATGTGTACAGGGGGAGATGGAATGGGAGGGAAGGGACAACGCAGTTCATGAGTGTGAAGTTAGCATCTCCCTCCCCTAAGGAGAACTAAGAATGGCTCTTATGTCTTTAAATTTTAACAAGAAAGTCAAAAGAAGGGTGTCTCTATGGAAATTATATGAAATTTTAAATTCTCTGTATGTGGTTATGAGCCCATGGTCACTTTCATCTGTGGCCTAGACTGTTGTCTAGGTTAGTAGCACAGCCCAGGACTTAATGTCCTGACAGCCTCAATTTTTTTTCACCATGTCATTTTCAAAGACAAGTTGCTGACCTGGGTGCTGCGTCTTTGGGCACAGCTCATAACCTTAGGTTCGCTGCAACTGGTTGTATCCTAGGGCCACCACAGCTCCCACTCCTGCCCCTTCCTCTTGACTGTTCCCCCTTGCAAAGTCTTCAAGTTCAAACGTCCTTGTCACCCACAAATGCCAGTACACTTTCTAGACCAGCCCTCTCACCTTAGCCCAGACTCCAGGACATCCTAGACACCAGCATCAGGCAGCTGCTCCATCAGCCCAGGTCCTTCCTGCTAACCCTTTGTAGCATGGATTTCTCTGTCTGCCATAGCCGTGCCTGGAACTTGCTTCTCTTATGCTACCTGAAAAACTCTCTTGGGCCTTTTCTGCCTGAGTCCTCATGCAGCATGCCATGTCTTGCTTAGTTCTATGACTACCTTCCAGCCCGTTACAGCAGCCGCGTGTGTCCTTTGCAAACACACTACCTGCTGCAGTGTATCTCTGTGTCCCATTCCTAGGTCAGTTCATCAGTGAGCATACCGGTATGTTAGCTCCCAGAGGGATCTGGTCCTCAGAGTCTTCAGGCCTTACCGTGGAAGTGGGCTGGGAAGACAGTGAATCTGACAGAGGAGGTAATCAGGCCCTCTGTAGGCCTTGTCCCCAACATATGCTCCAGAAGAATCCTGTTTTCCATGGAAGATTCTGCATCCCAGTCCCTGCCTGTTTGTTGTACACAACATAGAAGTTAAGGGCTAAGGGAGCCATTTCCCCTTCTGAAAGCACCCACCTTAGTGATCAATGACCCTATATTCCTATCTGTCTGGTTTTCGTGGAAACTCATGATTGTATGGCCATGTGTCTATTCCCTGAAGGAAACTGAAAAGCAAAATAAACAGATGCCATCCAAGGAGTATGGGAATTTCTATAAGCAGTGTAGGCTGATGAGGAGGTTCTGGCTGCAGGTTTTGGGTTGGTTTGCCACTATAGGGTTTTAGTCTTTGAAGGCAGCCCATATTTAGTCCTGGGGATCAGTGATGATATTCTATCATCTTCAGTCAGGGACAGAATGTAAGCAGATATAGCACTCAATGTGGCTGCCTGGCTATCAACCACCAGTGGCCTCTAGGGTAGAAGCCTTAATATTCTCATTTCCCATCATCTGTTGGTACCTAGGATACATAGTTTCACCTGAAATAGAACTTTTTGCTAAGAAAAAATAAAATGCATTATGCCTCAGTTATTCTGGTCAGACGTGGGGGAGTACAGTGACAGGAACATCCAGGTAGATGCCCTCACTCTGCAGCACTTCCAGCCTCAGCACCATGGATGAACGCCTTGCTGAGTGTGACCTGAGTGACTCAGACTGGCAGTTCTATGGATATCAGCAGTGTTAGCAGGATGAAAGACGTTGCTTTCTTGAATTACCTAAAGTATAGGTACTGTTAATTTCATTTTTGCATAAAACAAAAATTATTAGACTCAGTAAAAGGAGCAATACAGACATGGATATCACCCTGATTGTATGCCTGATGGAAATTGGCAGGTGCATAGAGAAGTTACCAATAACTCAGTCACCTGCTAAACTTCTGCTCTGCCAAACTGTCGGAATGCAGGCATCATTTCCATGACTTAAACCCCTGGAAAAGTACAGGCACCGGCATATTTACACTTACACCTTCAAGATAATGGAAAGTGATCAAAGTAAGATGAGAGAAATGCAATCATTTTTAAGACTTATTTTAGTAAAATGTTGCCCACAGATGTAGTGTTTTGGGCAGATGAATTGCTGGGGCAGTACAGGACACAGGCCTTCTGGACTGCAGCGGCCCTGAACAGCCTCAGTGCCTGTATCTGTGAGGTGGACATGCAGCAGGATCAGTCCACAGAGAGGTGGGAAGCTAGAGAATCTGGTATATTTGACCTGGGAAGCAATTGCCGTGGACAGGATGCTGCAGGCCATCTGCCAGCTCTCCCTTAGCTCTGTGCCCACAAACCTCAATAGAACTTAAAGGGATTGCTGTCCTCCTGCTCTGACATAGCCCTGCATAGTGAGACCCTGTCTCAAAAATGAAACGAGAAGATACCATATTAATTTTTTCCTGGACTGGTGGCTAGCCTTCCCCCTTTAAAAAGGAAACAAAATAAAACCGTCTTGGAAAGTGGTAGTAAATGCCTGTTACACCAGCACTTGATTTGTTGGGTAGATGTAGTAGGCTCTGCAGGTCTAGACCAGTCTGAGCTGTGTGGTTTGCCTTATTCCAAAGGCACCTTCATATGTGGTATTGAATTTTGTAGCATTTTCATGTCTTGTTTTTTTTTATCAAAAATCTTAATGATGCAGAATCATTAACTTGAGTTGACATTCACAACATTTCAAAGCATGGCAAGTGTAACTCTCATTGCCCATGTGTAGGCCTCTGCCTGGTCCCCCGTACTGTTCTTAGCTCAGTCACTCAGGGACCCCAGTATAAGCTGTAATTGGTCTAAATCCACTGTTCTCACACACACAGCTCTACAGTCATACCAATGGGATTTACAAAAGAGAGAGAAGAGAATGGATAGGTGGCCACTGACCCCTCATCCTACCCAGTGCAGGAGTCGCTCCTGTGCTCCTCTGAGGCTGGTTGACTAACCAGCCCTGCAGAATTAACAGTGTGTCCAAGTGGCTGTTTGTCCTCCATGAGCTGTATTGGAAACTGACTGTGGTCCCTGGGAAGGAATCTGGACGAAACAGTCGCTTATGCAATTTGTTTCCTAGTGTGGAGGGTGTCATTAGAATGGTGTGGTCCCTCTCACCCCAGGATCTGGCCTCAACTGAAGTAACCTGAGTTTTACTAAAATGTTTTCCCAATACCTTACCTCCCCTGAGACTTAAACAGGGAACATTTAATTGAGATTCACATTACCAGGTAGGGTTATTTCACTATGGTTGTTCGTTTGTGTTTGGAGATAATGTTAAAGTATGAGCAACAAAGCCTGTGCTAACTCTTTTAGAAGGTTTATGGTTCATTTTGTGTATTTTGTCCTCTTTGGAGGACAGTTGCCAAGATCAAGCTCTAGGTACAGAGCAGCTAATGACCCTGAGGCCACAAGCCCAGAGAGCAGTAGCCATCCACAAGGCTTCTCACAGGCACAGGTATAGTTACTACAAGAATGACTAAGGTTGCCATTGCCTGTGGGGGAAAGACAGCCGTAAGCATTGCCCTAGCCTAGCCAAGCTGGTCCATGTACATCCCTGACCCCTAGAGCCATTCTCTGTACCGTTAACAGTTCCCTTTAGGTATTTCCTCACTCTGAGGAGGCTAGATAGACATGGTATCTCTAATTGGAATATCTAGTCTGGTGAAAATGAATATCCTGTGTGTGCAACTAGTAGTGCTTGTGTGTTAGTGAAAAGACCCATCCTAATAAATCAGCCATGAAGGAGAGACATGTTAAGCAGCTCTAAAAATTAACCCTCGCTCCCAAGTACTTGCTGGCTGTTTTTGAAGGTGCTGGCATAAAAGCTTGCTGATTAAGGATCTACAAGGAAAGACCTCCTGCAGGCAGATGAGGAGCTGACCCGGCTGCCCTCTGGTGTCCCACGTTTGGACAGATAGATATCTGTCCTTAGGCATATGCCAAGCTCACTCTTCCCTCTAACTCTAGAAGCATGTGTAAGAATTACAGGATAGAGGTGTTTGGCTCACAATAGCATGTGCCCTGCCAAAACCTTTTTCACAAAGCCCATAGTCCCCACAGCCTTAGTGATGGTTCTTGGGGATCCTGAGAATCTAGGTCAACTACACATATGGCTAGAAAGAGTGGTCAGACTCTTCATGGATCTACCCAAGGAATCAGTCAAGTCCTATCTTATCCAAATGTGTAGATGGTGCAGCAGTCATGAGCTGCTGTCAAAACAAGGATGATCCTCTCACAGGGTCACTCCAATCCTCTGTTCATTCAAGCATGTACAGTGTAGGATGGGAAGAATCTAGGTTCTTCATGAATAACCCCCATTTCTGTGTGTGTAAAGATGGGTGGGTTGGGACCAGTTGTGTGTCCAACATCCTGGGGGCGGGGCCTAACCACACTGTCCTCTGTCTCTCCAGCCAAGCGGTACTGCAAGAATGCCAGCCCCAGCAGCAGCACCACCAGCAGCTATGCACCCAGCAGCAGCAGCAATCTCAGCTGCGGTGGTGGCAGCAGCGCCAGTAGCACGTGTAGCAAGAGCAGCTTTGACTACACACATGACATGGAGGCCGCACACATGGCAGCCACAGCCATCCTCAACCTGTCCACACGCTGCCGTGAAATGCCACAGAACCTGTCCACCAAGCCCCAGGACCTGTGCACCGCCCGGGTATGCCCAGGGCCTCAGCTGTGTCGCGAGGGAGCTGGCTATGAGTTGACTCACTGCCAGCACTACAGCCCTGTGCCTCAGAGCAGTGGACAGGTGTCTGTCACTTCCAACTCTAGCTTGTGTCTGGGACATTAGCACAACCATCACCCTTGGCCTTTATGATATTTCCACTTCAGGGTACACGAAGCCAAAAAAAAGGCTCAGTGGTATCATTGTTAGGTAAATGGGAGGCTGTCCCTTTACCATATGGCTAGTAGGTCACCCAGGATAGGGAAGCAAAGAGGTGACATCTGACTGCATTCTCAATGTCTGTGGTCTCAGCCAATGCCGTCACCTCAGTGGCATCCTCAGTACTACAAGATTCAAGGAAGGTTTCCATCGTTCAATTTTTCTCATCTGTTCAAGAAACTATATTTGTCATGAGAACTACTTTTATTTTTTTATTTTGAGGTTATAATACAATTATACCCATTTCCCCCTTTTAAGCTATGAATTTTATTATTGTGAGCATGGAGAGAAGCAGGCACACCATGGTTCGTGTGTGGCGGTCGAAGGATAACCAGCAGAAGGATAACCAGATGAGCGGTTATCTGTTGGCCCGCCGCAGCACTGAGCACTCATAGGGCAGAGAAGTGAGTGAGCTTCTCCCCAGGACTAGAGGCAGGAAGCAGTGTGGCAGTAAGGAGGGCCTGACCACCTGCCCTCCATGTATCTGGAGACTCCGGGCACTGACAGCAGTTGTCATAAACCATTGTAATTTATATGAATAGAGAAAGGTCAATCACTTTATGGTTTGCTTTCATTCTTTTGATATATTTTTTACTCCATATTAGTGGGACAGTATGAGGGAACATGAATTCTTTATGGCCATCTGGGCTACTGAAATGCAAAGTTAGTACAAAAGCCATTCCTCCCGGTGAGAATAAACATAGGAACCTCCCCCTGAGCTTGTTGGTTTTGTCCTTTAAAAAAATACAACTGGGATAATGGTTCCAATATGATGCATCTAAATTAGTATCAAAGCTTGGAATCTGGGGTGCTTTGACAGAGTTCTGGCAGAACAACTCTGAAAATATATTAAGAACAAAGTACCCTGTGTCCATTTTACTTGCCCAACAAGAAGAGGTGGCTAGATATGAGCGACCATGGGATCACTCAAGTTGGAGGTCACATTTTTCCTTGAGAGAGCAAACTCACTGGGAAAATGGAGGTTTATTTTAACTGTGCTTGTCCACTGCCATCCAAATCCCTTCACCCCTCTGCCAGCAAAGCAGACTCTGAAGAGTTTGGTCTGTTTCAGTGCATCAGTGTGTGTGTGCGTGCGTGCATGTGTGTGTGTGTGTGTGTGTGTGTGTGCACGCACGCCTGTGTGTGTACATGTGTGCATGCGGTTTGTCTCACTTTTCGTTTTTTACCCATTTGGCACAGTAGCAGATATGAAGACATCCAGATAAGCTCAGAGCAGATTCCCTAGAATAGGGCCTTGGGAACTGTAGTGAATACCACCTGTTTTGAAATGGAAAAGTCTCGGCATTGGGTTTCATGTCAGAAGGAAATTTCTAGTTCTTTCTCCATCCTTTCATCAATACTCAAGTCCTTTCCTTTTCCTTCTTATTCACTTTGTAATTGTTGTCATAGATGAAATGAAGGAAAAAATAAGCTGGTATACTATGGATGTATGGTAGGATGGAGGATGGATCTGTGAAGGATTGGTACAGATGGTGAAGGATAAATGAATACATGGACGGATGGATGATGGATAGAGACAGGAAAGGGGGTGGATAGATAGATGGATGATGAACGGATGGATATACAGGTAGATGATATGGATGGGTGAATCTTCCGAGCAGTTTCCCTGGTAAGCCTATGGCAGCAGGCATGCCCACTGACCATGATGGTTCACTTGTGTGTTAATGGAAGTGGGGGCAATGGGGAGTTATATTGGTGAACTCCGTCATAGCTAACAGTCACCCTTAGTTGGGAAAGACAAAGGTAGAAAGAAGACAGTTAGGCCTTCTGGGTAATACATCCTTCTCTCAGCAGAACCCAGACATGGAAGTGGACGAGAATGGCACCTTGGACCTGAGCATGAACAAGCAGAGGCCTCGAGACAGCTGCTGCCCAGTCCTGACACCCCTGGAGCCCATGTCCCCCCAGCAGCAGGCAGTGATGAGCAGCCGATGCTTCCAGCTGAGTGAGGGGGATTGCTGGGACTTACCGGTAGACTACACCAAAATGAAGCCTCGGAGGGTAGATGAGGATGACCCCAAAGAGATTACTGTAAGTCCATCTCCTTGACCCTACCTACGTTTGCTAGGAGCCCAAGAGGGGCCTTGGTAAAGAAAAGATATTTGCACACTCTTTAAGAGAAAGTGTATTTTCTCCCTAAATTTGGCCTTTAGCTAACAAGGGCTCAGAGAACATTTTTGGTTGACCCAGGAAATGTATAATTAACACTTATTTGAGAGAAACAGACTATGGGCTCTTTGAAATTTTATTTTCTAATAGATATGTATCATTACAAATGGCTTCCCTAGGAAAATATAGAAAAGAGCATATTGTTTTATTTTCAAACAAAACTACTGCATTTTCCTGGGGCAGTATAGGCAGGAGGATCAGGAGTTCTAGGACAACTTGAGCTATATAATAAAACCCAATTTAATTAAAAATGAAACAATATAACAACTTATTAACTGTGTGCTACAAATAAGCTCAAGCATTCAGGCTATATATCTTGCATAATGTATCTTAGTACAGTCATCTGACTCCCTGTTTATGGTAGTATTTCTAAAATGCCTATGCTACAACATAGTTTTCAAGTACTTTGGGCTTTATCAAATTAGTTTGCTACTGTAGTATAATACCACTTGGACAAAAGATAGACTATTTTCTTTTTTGTGTGCTTATAGGTATAGGTACACACACATGCAGAGCTCAGAGCAGGAAGTCAGATGTCTTCCTGTGTCATGAATCTCTGCCTCCTGCCTTTAGAATAGGAACTCAGCTTTTAACTAGACTAGCTTGCCAGTAAACCCTGGGGATTCTCTCTCCTTTCTCCAGGTACCCAAAGCCATACCTGACTTTACAAGGGTGCCTGGGATCCAGATTTGGATCCTTTGTGCTTCCAAAGCAAGCCACTCTTACACATCTTTCTTTACTGTAGACTGTTTTAATGCTCAAGTGTGAAAGCCCTCATATCTGTATACTTTGGAAAAAGAATAAAAATACAAGTAGAATAAGGATCCCACTTATCAAACCAATACTGCCTTACAGCAAAAGAGGAACAGGTGCAGAGGCCTGCCTTTGAGCCTATTTGGTTTTTTTGTGCTGTGCAGTCCTGACTGACCTCAAAGTCATGGTGATCTCTCTGCCTTCTCCTACTGAATGCTAGATATAGAGGTGTGCACTATTTCACTCAGCTGAGGCTCTGTCTTAGTTCCTTTTCTATTACTGTGAAAAAACACTATAACCAAGGCAGCCTATAATTGAAAGTGTTTAATTGGGCTCACAGTTTCAGAGAGTTAGAGTCCATGATGGCAGAGAGAAAGTGTGGCATCAGGAACAGCTAAGAGCTCACATCTGAAACCCCAAGTAGTTGTCAGAGAGGATACTGAGGATGACAGGATCCTTTTCCAGCCTCAGAGTCCATTCCTACTAGCACATGTCCTCCAACAAGGCCACATGAATCCTTCCAAACAGTTCCATCAACTGGTGACAAGTCCTGTGGGGCCATTCACATTTAAACCACTTCAGGCCCCTGACATCTGTCTTCAAACTGAGCTAAGCATGTAGGCATTGTAAAAGTGGGATCAAATTTGAGTGGAAAGCTACATTTAAGCATTTTTCTCCACAGTTAAACTATGACTATCAAGAAAGAAATGGTAGTTGAATCCCTGAATGTTTTTAATTAAAGCTAAGCCTTCTTCCAATGACAAAAACCTCTTCATCATAGACTGTGTCAGAAGTAAACTTGCCTTTTAGCTTGTAGCATGGACTTGGGAAACATGTATGCTGAACTTTGTCCTCTCTAGAAAAATCTAGGTTACTGTGTGTAGACCCATCAAAAGTAGGTGCTTTATTTAAAATAATAATAATAATTTAAATTACAACATTAACATAGTTGGTCTTCCATTGCCTTGGCATAGAAAAGCATGTATAGGTGAAACACTAACCAGTGACTGGTAAAAAGTCCACTTCAAAATGTTTTCAGGAAGAATATAAGATTTACAGGTCCCTGCTGATAGCAGGTGTCCCCTATAGCAGCCATGCACACACAGTTCTTCCCTGGACACTAGATTCAAACAAAGACCAGGTAATGTATTTTCTCTGGCATCTAGAACACCCACTCGTCCCAAGAAGGAGCTCTGTAAAGTTTTAGCAGCCCGTGGGCAGTTCATCTTGTGTTTCACAACCAAGATACATTTGGGTTTCAAGTATAAGAGAGGCAGAAGAACAGGCAAGGAAACCCTGCAGCCAGTGAACCTTGGGCTGGTGAGTTTTGTTGCTGTGTGTGGTTCTGAAGCTGTGTTCTGCCTACAGCCAGAAGACTTGGACCCATTCCAGGAGGCCCTGGAAGAAAGAAGGTATCCCGGGGAGGTGACCATTCCAAGCCCCAAACCCAAGTACCCGCAGTGCAAGGAGAGCAAAAAGGACTTAATAACGTAAGCACACCGCAAGGTGACACGCTGGCTCTTAACCCTCCCTTCCCTGGCTTCCTTTCAAAGCGAAAACATGTATACATACATATATATGCCTTGCCATTTGAGCATGTGCATTGGCGGCTCAGGACTCTCCAGATGCCGGTTGAGCAGAGCCAGAGGCTGCCTTGCACCTGCTTGTTCTCAGTGGCGCTATACCGTGCAGAGGCGTCATTTCATTTAACCCTGTGCATTTTACAGCTTTCTCCAGGGTGCTTAACTCCCCTTGCAGACATTGCAGCTAAACTGGAAACAATGAAATTTTTCTTAAGTTTTTTTTTTAAAAAAAAAAAACATACTTACTATTCTGGCTGTCTTTGTTTTTGTTTGGTGGCAGATGTCCAACTCCAGGGTGTGATGGGAGTGGTCATGTGACTGGTAATTACGCCTCACACAGAAGGTGTGACTTCATTTTTCTCATGGTGGATTCTGTCTCTTCAATTTATTGTTTTCAGCTTACCTCAACAATGCTGTCAAAGTACAAATGTTGAATTTTGTGTCAACCCTCTGAGTGCTGTATGCTGCCCTTCAAAATCATGCTAATTTACATGTTACACGACGACTGTTAGACTAAATTTGCAAAATCCTTCCCAAAAATTTAAACCAAAGAGAACATGTATTTTGTTGTGATTTTTTTAAGTTCTTAAGCATATGCCTGGTGATATCCAGAGTTAATAATATAAAAATTCAGTATACAGCACTTGGCCCTTTGCTCTTCGGCACTGAACTTTTTTATTTTCAACTTTGTGTTGTGTTGTTCGAGTGCTGCCGCCCAGGGGTTCACTCACTGTGTCTCCTGGCCTGTCTTACAGTCTGTCTGGCTGCCCCCTGGCGGACAAAAGCATTCGAAGTATGCTGGCCACCAGTTCGCAAGAGCTCAAGTAAGCATTCATGAGACTAACTCTCTGTTAGCAATCTCTTTGCTGTTAGTTCACAGAAAGTAGTGTGCTGTTTGAAAGTGGATTGTCTGTGAAGGAGTCTCCTTTGTGGCCGGTTTAGTTGGATAGTCTTTAGTTCTTTTGTGTCACAGGCTTTGTATCTGGAATTTCTTGTCTTCAGATACACAAGCATTCCCAGGGGAAAATGTTTCAGAGTTACTCACACTTTCAGAAAATTGCTGTATAACATTTTTATAAAATGGATGCTGGGGATAAAAATCTACCTGGTAACAGCCAGCTCGGTAAACTTGTGTTCTTCATTATGAACATTGCCCAAGCCAGTGACGGTGCAGCTCAGGATCCGTGTGGTGTTGGCACACAGACACATACACATGCTACACAGACACATACACACACGCACACAGACACATACACACGCACACACAGATACATACACATGCTACACAGACACATACACACACGCACACAGACACATACACACGCACACAGACACATACACACACGCACACACAGATACATACACACGCGCACACAGACACATACACACACGCACACAGATACATACACACGCACACACAGATACATACACATGCTACACAGACACATACACACACGCACACAGACACATACACACGCACACACAGATACATACACACGCGCACACAGACACATACACACACGCACACAGACACATACACACACGCACACAGACACATACACACGCACACACAGATACATACACATGCTACACAGACACATACACACACGCACACAGACACATACACACGCACACACAGATACATACACACGCGCACACAGACACATACACACGCGCACACAGACACATACACACACGCACACAGACACATACACATGCGCACACAGACACATACACACGTGCACACAGACACATACACACATGCACACAGACACACAGACACATACACATGCGCACACACACGCACACACACACACACGCTGACGGCGCAGCTCAGGATCTGTGTGGTGTGGGCGCACAGACACACACACGCACACACAGATACACACACACATGCACACAGACACATACACACACACAGACGCATACACACGTGCACACAGACACACATGCACACAGACACATACACACACACACACACAGACACATACACACACGCACACAGACACATACACACACGCACACAGACACATACACATGCGCACACTGTAGTCGTGGCTCCCACTCCTCTCCTTTCCTCTCCTCTCCTCTGTGTTGTAACTTTTCAACATAAATGTGGCACAGCAGACTGGGGCTGTTCTCCTTTGTAGCCAAGTGCGCCAAGCTCAGTTCCAAGCGGACTGTAGAGGGAGCGAGTGCAAGTACGATGCGAGCATGGAAGCCTTTCCCACTCGAGTCAGAGTGAGCTTTGAGGTGTCTGTAAAGATCAAAGGCCAAGCTTGACGCACAGCATGATGTTAGCAACTGCCCCTCCAATTATAGCCTTTGCTTACCTGATAGTTCCTACCATTGTGGCCTATGCTTGGCTGGGAAGATGCTGCCCCCTCCCGACCATCCTATCCCTCACCCCCATTTCCACGGCCCAGGGGTGACCTGAGTGCAGCCTTCTGTTTGACACCCGTGTCATTTTTTTCAGGCTCCCTGTCCAGGGCCCTAGTGCCATAGACCACCTGCTCATGTTCAGTGACTTCCTGAACTAGCCCTCCTGTCGCACGCAGGACTCTTGCGGTTGTCTTCCTGAACTAGCCCTCCTGCCAATTGCAGGACTCTTGCCTTGCCGCTGTCTTCCTGAACTAACTGTAAGCAGCTGGAGGGCTTCCTCTTGTCTGACAGTCTAGCAGCGTTTAAATCAGTGCCTGATGGACAAATAGCTTTAGCACCTCAAAGCAACAGCCCTTAGGAGCAACAATCCGGCACACTTTGTTCAGGCATCTTTTTGTCATGGCTTCAACCCACATTTCCCTCATGGTCAAAATGTGACCAGCTGCACTTGGATCTTGGCCAGCTCATCAGGATATGGCAGCATTCTCTTGACTCTCTTGATGAGGAACTCTTTGCAGACGCCTGGTATATCTCCAGCTGCAACAGGCCACCTGTAAACAAGAAACTAGCTTTTGTTCTACTGGTGCATTCTGACTGCTTTAGTGTTTTGTGACGTGGGACCAGAACACTCTCCTGACAGTGTAGTTCACATCTGTTAGTGTTGGGCTTGGTGTTTTCACATCTGACATTTCAGGCAGACCTGCTGTTTCTCCAGTCCGCAGTTCCCCTTGCTCTATTTCATCTTGGGAGATGGCTGGTCCTCTCATCAGCACCCTCAGGGAAGGAACTCATGTCCTCCAGACAGCGTAGTCTTGGTCAGCGCCCTCCTTTATCCTTCCTGCCAGGAAGCTGTACCATCCGGAGAACAGACGCTTGGGCCTGGTTTGGGTTCATCTAAAAGTTATACTTGTTTTCTATGTTTGTCTTTGCAAATGAGTTCTTATTTGCTTGACCCCTGCTAAGAAACCTAAACTTAACTAATTTCCTAAAATGATCTGTTTTTGTTAACACTAAAGATTTGGCGTCTTCTTTAAAGGGACTACAATTTAAACAGCCATTTTTTAAATCTCCTCTACACGTAAAATAAATAAATAAATAAATAAATAGATCATCATGATAGCCTTTTCTCTCGGCCTTTTCATTGAAGACTCTCAGTCCATTGCTTCCTTGTAGAAGTCAGGCAGGTTTGCTGGGGAGTTTTCCTCTTTAAGTTGTACAGCAGTTCAGAGTAATTCATGATTATTGCAGTGTATTGATATTCCTGAAAGCCTTGGTCAGTCTGTACAGTAGCATCTCACCTGAGATGCTGAGATGCTACTGTACAAACTGGCTTGGGCAATGAGAAACTGAGTTGAGTCCCTGGGTTATTATTCATACAACACTCTCTACTTACCAATGCTAATATTAGGAAGTGGGTCCCAATAACCTCAGCTACCACATGGATTGTTAAAAATTTTTCCTTTCATCATTTCCAACACTTAAGTTTTATAGGTAACCCTTAGAAGAACATTTTTAGCCATGGACAAGAAAGTTGTCTAAAAACCCATTGACCAAAAACTCTTAGACCTCATAGGCAACACTGCTCATTCATTTAGAACAGACGCTGTGGGTAGTTTTAAGACTAAATCAATGATTTTGTGCTTAATTATGTACAATGTGTAAACTAAAAATGCATTAAAATGTTACATGAATCTTACCAACACTGTGGAATGGCTCCCGGGCCCCTTGTGTCTCTGTTATGCATGTCACATGTCCTGGAGGGAGGGAGACTTGAGAGCCAGGGAAGAGAAGACTGTTCAGCCGAGTGCTTCCCGATGCACCCCGGCTGTGGGATTGCGGAGCAAAGAATCAAACTGTAAGAAGTAAGGTGACTTTTGCAGAGAAGCTATCCTAATGTAAAATCGGATCCTAAAGCTACGTTTCTTGGTTTGAAATGCCATTTCCTAAAATTCTCCAAAGGGTGACACATGAAAGGCAGCCACAGAATTGTGGCCTCTTTGAAGAGCCTCAGCCTCCTAGCCAAGGACCCTTTCCTAATGGGAGTCATGTTCAATGTCAGACACAGGCAGATGCTGGCCTTTGTGGGGTTTTAGCCATGTCAGTTACCAGTCTAAGCTGAGAAAACCAGCTTCAGACAGGGGCCATGGACTTGCTTACAGTGACCCCAACTGAAAAGGCTTCCATTTACACTTCAGCCAGATATAGTGGAATTGTAAAATTAGAGTGTTTGTAATTGGCTTTAACCATGCACTCACAAATGAATATACAAACTGTTAACTAATAAACTGAAGTGTGAGTCCCTGTCAAAGAAGTAAAGCAAAAAGGCCATTCTCCTCTCTGCCCCTCTGATGTTCATGCCCTGTGGGAAACCCTCCCCAATATAAAGTCCTAGGATGCAGCATAGGGCCACAGGAAAGTTCATACATAGCCTGGATGCTGGACCATGGCGAGTGTCCTTGGGAGTTCCCTGCCCTGACTCTTCTTTCCATTTCCTCTTCTGCAGGAGTGTGGGTGGATGGGATGAGTAAGTGAGGAGATACATCTTAATCTCCTGTAACAACACATGCCAGCCCACACAAACAGTGAACGGAGATCTGTGTTGTACAGACCTCAGAGTTCTCCAGACATAGCCTAGCTCTGTTGTGTGCCTGTGTCTCACTCCCTTCAGTGCAGATTATAGTAAAGTTCAGAGTAAAAATCAGGTTCAGGGAATACAAGGAAAGTAGACATCATTGTCACCACTACTCTTTTCATGAAGACCACGCTGTAACACGAAATGCACCTATCAGAAAGCCATCTCTCCTGTGCCTCAGTTTCTTTATCTGTAACCTAGTCTAGCACTAGGATAGCTCAGTAGGCATTTGGTGGATATCAGGATAACCAACAGTGCCAAGGTCCATCAATTCTGGGTTTTTAAGAAAAAATTCACCACCCGGGATTCAAAAAGGGGGAAATGAACAAGGTAATTGATGTTTCTGAAATGGCAACATCCCTTGCTCTTTGAAGAGTCACTGAAATAAGAACTTCATTCACTCAAAGATCTATGGGGAAAAAATTAACAGCATGTTCTTTAAGGCATGTGGTAGCACACGCCCATAATCTCAGCAGTCTGCTGAAGCAGGAAGATGGTAAATTCAAGGCTAGCTTGAGCTACACAGTGAGACCCTGTTAGGAAGAAGAGGGGGGAGGAAGATGGTGGTGATGAGAATAGAAAAGAAAGGACACTGTGCAGGTACAGAGTTAGAGAGTGTGGAGAAGTATGAAATCTGAAGGCCTGCATGGAATGACCTCATGTGCTCTATCTAACATGTCTATACACTGTGCTCTATAAGCATGTTTTATCACGCGTTTCTATTGTGTCTGCTTGCTCTTTGCAGTGTGAATCATCACAGTTCTCATGCGTTCCTCATTTAACCCTTATATCCAAAGCTCCCCCAGCCAC